TAATTTTAGTGGAACAGCGAAATAACCTGCCTGAGGTGATTGTAGTGTTCCACCCTGCTCGCACTCAACGCTGTCATCCCCTACAGTGTTTCCAATTCTTCGGAGTTGTAGGAGACCAATGGGGCGTTCAAAGGCGTGGGTCGTTTCCGTCAAATTCACCTAACCAAATGGAATATGCCCTTCACGTTTAGGCATATAGTAGTATACTTAGGATAATAGGCAATGACTATGATGATCCTATTACAAACAGCGCGTACAATATTTACGTTATTAAAACGTCGTCAGTGACATTTCAATTTCACCGAAAAATATTTTGATAGAATGAGACTGCGACCCGAGCGGCCTCAGTTTTTTGAAGGTTAAGGGTCGAGCCCCACATGGACGTTTCATGTACAGTTGAAGTTATATATGCAAACAAATGCAGCTAACTTAATGTATAGTCAATTGTGTGGTTTGCGGAAACAATTTGCATGAAGATTTAAGGGCTGCATTACGAAGGAGATGAACGCAAGAACTGAAGTTCATGGTTGGCCTTAGATAGCCAGCATTAACTTTATATCCTGAGCACATTTCCGATATTAATCTATCCGATTTTGTAAAAATTTACCAGAGTCTACTGAGCAACCGTGGTGACCGTGTTTGAAGAAAGATTATCAACAACTGGAAAGAGTACAGGCGATAGCTAAGAAGATGGTCAAGAATCTTGATCATCTGCCTTACGAAACCAGGCTGGCCGAACTAAATCTATTTCCCCTCAATTACAGGCAACTGCGCAGGGATGTCAGTCAAACTTACAGGATTGTCAGAGGCCGTGAGTGCGCCCTAAACTTTGATTAATTCTTCGAATTGGCCGGAACTGACCGTCTGCATGGTTATCCTTAAAAACTGCAGAGGAATCTGGCCCATACGGACGTCCGACGTACCGCCTTCTCTCACAGGGTAGTTGGGGTGGGGAACGGACTCCCAGATGCGGTGGTTCTTTCCGAAGCTGTTGATGGGACCCCGAAGGGTCTTTAATAAAATAATTGAATTGAATTGAAAATAACTGAATTGAAATCCTTTAAGCGTAAAATAGATGCTCATTTGCGGAGACACTACTGTACATATAATCACGATTGTTTTAGCGACGGCAGTTCGCGCCTGGCTCACACTTACTGTCAACTTTTGTATTCCCACATTTGCCGATGCACCACTTGATTATGGTTCTGTTTATCAATATGAATAGAGAGCTCAAGGGCAAAAGCCTCATTGTCTTATAAAATTGAATTGAAGCGATGGTGAATTTATCAGCAAAGTTGCATAGAGTAGTCAGTTTGCACTTTATCCAACCATTTAGGTTGCATTTTCACATATTTACGAAAGCAATCTACACAATCAAGAGGACTGATTAAATGCAGTTGTTAATCTTAGCCTAAAACACAACTAATGCGATATTCCCAACCCGCCTATCATTTAATAGGTGTTGCTTCTATGGGGATGCAGTTAGAGACTCAACCCATTCCTTCAGACATGCTGGAGCACATTATCTAGAGGGGCTAATGCGGAGATCCCAAAAGAAGAAGGAGGCACGATCGCCGGGACAAGAGATTCGCTAGACGGAAGTTCGGATTTTCATTGTCGAAGACAGGACCAGAAAAGTGTGTGGGGTCACACTGATGCTGCAGTAATTACAGTAATGTACTTGCTAAGCTAGTACATGCCTATCAAAACTGGCAGCTTCCGAATGCATTTCGGCGAGGCAGCAACTACATCCTATAAGTGCAAAATTATCTGCGCGACCCTCTACCCTTTTCTAGCTCTGGCTCTGATGATTTATTTGGGTGAGAATCCCAAACGTCAGGTTATGAAAGCTATAGTTCCGGTGATCGTGTCTCCATCTTCTCAAATACTTCCCGAAACCTGCTTATTGCTACTGTCGGCATATCTGAATAATGAATTTTCCCGCACAGTTCAGAACTAACATTCAGCAGTCCCAGGTACATTTCGTTGTGACTACTAACAGTCGGAAGTTGCGGGCTCGTTGAAAGAATGTCCTGTTCTCTACTGATACTCAGTTCCAGCCAGAGCTGTGTGCCATTTTGCAGATGGTCGTCCGTGTATGACTAGCAGAGGCAATAGTAACTTAACTAGATGAAAAATATCTTAGTATCCTTGCTGTAAAAGTAAGACGCAAGTGGACTCTTCACAACTACTATTTTAGTTTATAAAGTTCTTTCGAGCGCAAGCCATTAGCAGGAGGAAATGATTCTCGTTTTGGCCTTTACTCTCGTATTCTATGAGTTCACGAGCCTACTGGGCCCAGCCCTATTCACGAGTGTTTTTCGAAAGAAATCTTGGATATGTGACTACTTGCACATAAACTTGGTTTTTGTGTGCCGTTTGCCACTAAACGTTTTGAGATAATACACCCTAGGCTCAGTACAGTTTTTAGTATTCCTTCAGATTCCAATACGTAATTACAGCGAAGCTCTTAGAAGGTTCAGGATAGTGAGAAAAACTGAAGCTTCTTTATCTGGATCAGCTATAACCCCTTCTCGATCTGATTGTTTGAGCTAGCGGGTATAATTGGCAAAAGGTATAGTTGTTCGGGACCCAGCGCTGTCCTCATGTCGCCAACAGACTGCGAGAAGGGTTCATGCGGTTTATTATGCCAAAAAGAAGTATCTTTGCTATTCGAACAGGAATTCGTAGCTCGTAATTTCGAGAAACTAAGAAATGACTTACATACGGCGGTTTACAAAGAAGCGTGCTCTGTGTGGGACGCTATATCCTGGGCTCTCCGTTGTGCGGATAAATTAACTCAACTGGATTCCGAAGCATCTTCTTTTTTAGTAGAATATATAGACAGTGTATCTCATGAACTCAGCTTTAAGGAATTTTTGTTATTAATTCTCGAAGTTTTGGAGGAGTCGCAATGCATTAATTGTGTGCTTTTTTCTTTGCAGTTTCTTAGCAGGTGTATTATAGGGATTGGACTTAATAATGTTGAGACAGTTATCCCAGCATTCACGGCAGTTAGGGAAAAGGTAGGGGAAGCCATTTCGAACGTGTTTGACGAGGAGGCGACCCCTAGTCAGAATGATATATTTTCCATTCTTTCCGGCGTGGGAAAGTTTTTTGTCGACGTCTTCTCCAGTCCCAGTAGCTGCTGTAAAAAGGTTTACACCGACGAACTCTTATACTACTTTTCCGAACCGCTCTGGCTCGTTGACAATTCACAATCGAACGCACACATTTTCGTACAATTTATATCTGCACTTCAAACGTACGCTGGCGGGGTTTATTCAGCATGTCGCGACTTACACTTTCAACTTATTTATGGAGTGGAGGAAGCCACGCTTATTTCCAAGTACGCCGATTCACGTACACCGGCCTATCTATGTATTCTCAACTTTTGCTTGGATAAATCAGTTCTATGTAATTTCTGGCCTCACATTCTATCAGCTAATTTTGAAATCGACTTATTTACAACCCTTTGCGCAGTTTTTGTGAGTGATATGACTTCAAAAATAACTGAAAACATCCCGACGACTTCAGTCCAGAAGCGGATTTTTCTTCGGTTGGAAAAAAGAATACTTACCCTGTTTTCACAAAAAGAGCGCAACCTCCCCTCATGTTGGTGGGGTCCATTACAGCTCAGTCTTTTTGAAGGCCTCCAGTTCTTTAGCAAATTGCCTATTTCCTCCCACGACCTGCCCCCGGAGACGAAAATGGCCGTGGAATGCATCGAGTGTTTACTCTGCGCGTCCAGTATCACTGCTCGGTGTAGACTATTTACAAACCTCTTTAAGAATCTTAGGACGGATTACCATTGCGGACTTCGAGCACATGCCATAACACTTTTCAAAAATTTCCTACATGACACATGGCTTCAAGCCTGCCAAAGCGGTTTGCCTGCGCTATATTCCGGTGAAAAACAAATAAACGAAGATGGGGTCTGTACACCTTTTGAACGACGCTACCTCCTGCCAATGTGCAAGGAAGTATTTCGTTTTCCCCTTTCCGAGTGCAAAGAATCGCTTCTAGATCAATTCAGTTGGCTAATGGCCGCCTTAAATTTTATCCTGTACGCCAACATCCGGGCGAAAAACATGAACGCTACACTTCATGGCTCAGCAGTTGCGAGTTTGACGGCGGATGTCTTACAGGCTGTCAACATGATTGATGAAGAAGGCAAAAACTGCTTGAGGTCAAACTTTATCAGCAATATTACCACCGAGCTGCGACAGTTAACCGACCGATATAGTATGGCAGAAAAGGAACACCTGTCATCTCCGGATCCTAAAACACTGGCTCCAGGCGCTCCAAGCTTGGAGGAATGCCGCCTCACCCTGTTGAAACTCAATCTTTTCAGCAACACACTTGCTCGATTACAAGAATTTCAACTTGTATAAACCTGTATATAGATGAAGTTTGTGCAAATATTAAATAATTGCATCTGAGACTCCCTCCTACGCATGCTTTGCGATTCTTCCTGTTCTGAGTTTTCCCTACTCAAAATTATTTTGAATGAGACAGCTGCTCAAAACAAGAGGGCGGCTATAGAACTGTGCATTTTAATATTTTTCGCAGCTCAGGTGTGTTATGACAACTACTGGTCTTCATACTGAAAGTGGGAAGGAGTCACAAAATGTGGATACAGTGCCTCTTTATTACTACGAAATCCTTCATTTCCGAAAAAGACCGAACCAAGTTGCCGCACTGAGCATATTAATTTCCTCATCTTTCGACGTCTTAGTACGGGGGTCTGAAAATCAGTCATTTTGACTACGGAAGTCATTTACACAAGTCATGCAGCTGCGTCCAGCTACTGCAGCACCACATACATCAGAATGCTATCTATAAATCCTGGTCATCTCAGCTTACGAGCGATGTTTGCGCTTCCAACGTTTTTTACCCAACATACCGGAAACCATTCAGACCATTTTCAAACCATTCAAACCATTTTAATTTAGCTCCTTGAACTTTTTTAAAATTTACTTTTAGACTGACAAGTTCCCATGTTCCGAACGCCATTTGCCATTTCAGCGTAAGTCATACCGCAGATTTTCACGGAAATTTTGATTTTTTTCTCTATGCCAATATCGTTTTCTCCGGTACGTCTGCATACAGTTCACTGGACAAAAGTTTATAGAACACCGTTTTGGAGTTGACAAAGAACATCCAATGAATCACGCATCCTAGGTTTGTGCCGAAGCAGTACTGTGCGGTTGGCTCGATCCACCGCCATAGGAGTTGGGAACTTGTATGTACCGGGCAATTTTGGAACAGAACTTCTGAAGTTTATTATACAGACCAATAAGCCTCTCGAAACAATTGGTGCTTTTCATCTCACGCAGAATCGACTTGGCCATCAACTCGACGAGCCTGGCCCAGGAGTCGACCACACCATAGACCTCCCCCCCACAAAACTGTGAAACAATGGCCCATTTTTCGGACTTAGCGAACCGCTGAGAAAACTGAAAATAAGAACTCGGTCTCAGAACAAAGGTTTAAAAACGTCGAAAAGCGTGGATTTAGCGACTTACTAACAAGAAAAATCTTGCCCTCTAAGCGTAAGACGCAATAGTGCTTGTATTAAAAGTAGCCATAATTGAGCCCGTCTTCAAGAAGAAAGGTTTAACGAGCTCCTAGACCAATTGCAGCAGAGTCTAGTCGTTATTGTTTCGAAGGACTTGCCACCGTCCTAGTGTGTCCGTTTTATAATAGACGTTCTGCAAGTACGAGTGTCAACCGGGCCATGTCCTTGGTTGGACGCAGGTGCACGTGCCAAATATTAGCACCGCAGCGTATTATCGGATTCTGTCACGAGTACCAACCATCCACAACCGTTTGCTTTGCTGGCTTCGTTTCAGTTCTCGATTCTGTTTTTCGTCAATTGCCGTGGCGAGTAATTGAGCCGGCAAAACTTATCGCTGTGATCAAGGCTTACTGTCGTCCTATCACTGCGCACACACTTATCAAAAGCTGTTGTCAGGCGTTTGCCAACATTTCGCTCTCATAGGTTCTGTTCGATCGCCTCATTGATAGGATCCTCAGAAGATATATGGACGGCTCCTTTCGATACCGAATTTGCACAAGGTTACCAGCTGGTCATGCCACACTACTCTGACGATATCGCCCTGCTAGCGATAATTTGTGCTCTGCTGAATGTATTGTTTTGGGTGAAGGAGACTGCCAAACTTGACAGTTTGCCCGTAGACGTTGCAAAACCCAAATATTGTTGAACTCCCTTTGTTGTTAACCACTGCTGCCAAACGGACAGAGTAAGGATGACATCCTCGCGTGGGTCGATGCCGAAATTGGGACTTTTGCAAGCACTCTTTAAGATGCCTCAATCGCCCGAAAGATGCGCTTGTGCGGTTTATCCATTCGGTCAGTTCCCGCTTGCCATTTGGAATGTTGCGCTGCGCACATAGAAGACGTTCGAAAACTGGAGGTTTTTGACCATAACAGCCCAGGAATAATTTGCGTACCCGGACCCGTCTTGAGCGAGACTGTCCGAACCAATCGTAATGACATTGCGAAAAGATATCAGACCACCCAAGGCATGTGCTTCGTTGTTCGTCGCTTGATTCCAGCGCTCCGCTTTCAATCTGACCTTGCTGTGTTGGCGGAGGCGCCGAAGACGTCAGCTCAAAGCCTGACTCGGTAACCCTCACTTCTTGACACGGTGAAGGTTTTGATTTCTTCCACTCAAGCTGTCGCTATCCGCCTCCTCACTGACCTGAGGAAATAAAACAGTTTAGTGAAGACTAGCGGGTTATCGGCTTTACAGTCAAGTAGAGAAGCCGAAAGTGGTTATAGGGCTAGACTGGCAGATTATTTAGAAAGTATGCTGCCCACTTTGTTTTGCCCACTAGCCGTGACACTTATCAAGCGATGTCAGCCCAGACTAGAAGTTCATATACGTCTTATGTATTTGCACTGCTTACCAAGCTATTGTTGAGTCCGGTGCATATTAATTTAGCCTCTACCTTTTTCACAGTCCCCTTCGGCAGATTCTTCGTTTGTCGCTACCCGGGCGTGCTACCCGGTCATTGAGTATCTGCCTAGCACGGCACGTCATTAGCCTTCCGCGAGGGTCTCCCCAGACCAGCTTCACGCGCACTGGTAGGTGAGCCGCCTGTCTCATACCATGTGTGTACTTTTTATTTTCCTTGCAGTCTTCACCCAAATATCCCTCTGGTCTAAGCTCCTGGGATTTAGTGGCCATTCCATCGGTTGAGGACGCCGGCTCACAGTAAAATGGACTTCATGCCCTTACTGATGGCGATACTCAGCCTGTCTCTTTCTGTGTAGGCTTTTAACGCCCAGGAATGTTTCAAGCGAAATCAACTGTCAGAGGATGTACCGCTAGAGTATCTTATCCTTCGAAGAGGTATTTAAGGCGTGCAGCATTCTTCATTCCGCCCAAACCCACAGTGCTGTCTAATCATCATCAACCTGGTCTGCCAACGGAAGCCACAGTAACCGTAGTCTGCTTGAGGCACCCTTTCCGCTTTTGGCAAAGTTTTCAGAGCGAGAAGTTGGCAATCCGTTGCCAACTTCTTGTTTTCGTCACATTAGCCAGCACTTTAGCAGCAACAGAGATTGTAGGTCGACTGCTGAAAATATATTTGCTCATATTCTCAGCTTTTTTTTTCAGGCATCACCACAAGCATATCCCTGAAAACACGTTTTAACTGCGTATAGCTTCAGACTCGTACCTTCTCCATAATTTTGTGGCCAATTTAGCAGATAATGGAAACAGTTAGACACTGGATTGAGGGTTACAGTTAGTTCTTGATTCTCGAAGCCTACCACAGCCCTCATGCTGACTCGTGTATACATTACCCATCCGTTACCTTCAAATAATGCAGGCATTCGCTCTTACTCATGGGCCATTGACACTCCAGAAATTTGTCAGAATTTGCCCAGGGTCACTCGCGCAGTGTTCAGTAAAAGACTTTCCAAGTCCGGCGCCGGATCTTTATTTAAAGCAGAGAATGTATCCCATTAAACGCTAACAGGGGTCCTGAGAAATGATATCGGCCAGAAAGGATTCCTTAGGCGAGTTCGGTTACGCCAGAATACTGGCCTTTGAGTGCGCGCCTTTCCGACCGCCTGCAGAAATAACACGCATACAATCGCTACTTAAGTAGTGCAAAATTTTCATATTAATCTTCAGTGTTGTTGTAAATCCGAGCGTATTTTATAGAAAAAATGCCGAAACATACCGTTTCTTGTACTCATTTTTTGACATGTTATGTCTTAAAAGTTTTCACTTGAAGATCAGCTGGCTTTTAATTTAAAAAAACTCGTGATCGTGAAATGCTTGAAAACAGTGACATGCCTACTTAAACAGCATTTTATCTGCACGTTTACTAATCCCCCTTATGAAGCGTCCAACGTGATCCCTATAAATTGTGAAATTTCATGAACCTTATAGTGTATCTTCTCAAGAGTAAAGAGGAATGTCCGATTTCTTTTAACTGGATGGTGTACAGCTTGCTCCTTGGAAATTGTATACGCAAGTACGACGGCAATTTGGTTCGGAATTATTCAGGAACTAGAAACATTTTTCACAAGTAGAGGATACCATTTTTTGGGTAAAATCTGAGGACGTAAGTTGTCACAAGACGAATATAGGAAGCATTATTTTTGCGCATTTTTCCACGAAATTTGTCTAGACTTATAACATGTCGACACTGAGTGGGAAGACTCATACTAACTAGCATTTCTTAGCGAGTGGTTTTTCCAGACAGTAGAAACAATGCACATTTAGAAATCGGCACCTTGGCTGACTGAAGTACCTTCGGATTATGTTGCATGATAATACCATCTACGTAGTTTTTTCTAACCAAAATCATATTTCGGAACTTCAGTTGACGTATCTTGAGACACATCGCAAACTTCGTTAATTGTCTGCCGGACATTGTCTCCGACCGGTTTGTCAGTCAGTAGTGCTAATATTCAAATCTAAACCATTATGGGCCTCCGTTCTTACTCATGGAAGATTTACAGTCCAGAAATTGTCAGAAACTAGCATACATTGTCACAGTTACATGCTTGTTACATGTAATTATTTAACCAATCTTCCCCGCAACTTTCTTTATGTATTGATGTTTTTGCGACGTTATTTTAACCAATACGGAGTTGAAAGGCGTCCGTCTATCTTCCCTTTAATAAAACTGGATTAAACTGAAAAAGGGAATGTTTTCGCAGTTCTTAATAAGCGACTTCCCAAGCCTTTATGCAGGGAATTGTGCTAAACGTTTCCAAGTTTTCTCATTATTTGCCGAACATTTGTCTTCGGTCATTTTGCTAATTAGTGATATAAATTTTCAAACCAACACACACATTTGTCGTAATTACAAGTGTTAGACAGTGCTTCAGGAACGTTCATACGACTGCACGTACCCAGCACCATTTCCACTAAGCTTAAGTGATGACATGAAATTTTGAGATCTTTAATTAAACTGCGTATGATTATTGCATATTGATAAAAAACCTGTTCAATTAAAAAACGATCTAGGGGGATGAAACATGGTAGGAAGACGAGAGCATGAAATGTTGACCTGACATGCGGTTGGGAGTGGTGGAGGGTGAAGGAGATGTTATCTAGGTAAGTGATTTCAGGTCACTGCGAAAACGCGTCAAGCCTGGTTACGACTGCATGACGCGGGATAGTAGTCAGTACTGTGTGGGAGAGTGAATGGCGGAAGAGAGAATGGGGTCATTTCCGTTATCGATCCCTTGCCATGACAGTACTAGACGGATCACGTGATTCGGCTGTTTACGCGGTCCTGGATTTCTCCTGCGTATTGCACTGGCTTTTGCAAGGAACAAGAGACGCCTAGTAGTCACCCAAAATGGGGCTTTGAATGCAGTCTTTGGGTCCACCGCACGCTCAGTGCCTCGCAATTGAATTCCTGGGCACCTTAGTTTCCACCCTCAGCAACCATTGCGGCATATGTTCAACTGACCAAGTTGGGAATTGCCTCTGCGTGCAGGCTACCATTAACTAGCCTAACTAGAATAACCGTAGTAGTGCTTATGAGCAACAAGTTAAAGGTGGTGTGTGTCCGTCTGACGTGTCCACCCGCATGCCAGATCAACACTCCATGTTTTTGTTTGCCTACGTTTCATCCCTCTAGGGGTTTTCTGATTGAATAGTCTGCAAAGAATGAAACTGCCGACAAAGACAAGGGAGACTGGGATATCTATTTGTGACTCATTCGCCGTCATCAGCCAGACATCTTATCAAGATGCAACGACCGTGCGCTGTTGGATAAGAGGTCTCCATTCTGTTTCAATATGCGATGACGTTTTGGTGTGGGTCAGTAAAATGCGTATCATAACGCAGGCTTTTCATGGTTTCTACCCATGCCTCTTCATTTATGTACTCATTTCCACGAAGCAAATGTCACCCCCTCGCAATGCTCACGTTGAATCGGCGTAGTTGCGTCAAAGGTCACTTATGTGGAGTCATGAGGAACGGGGACATTCAGATAACAATACTACCTGCCAGTGACGAGTAGTAAATATTTTGTACCTTTTAGTGTCAACCGTGGGAAACGGTGTCATCAGTTCCGACAGCGAATACTCCTCCGGTGACAGTAATTCCACATTTGAATCGGAAGATCTGGAAATATTGTGTGAGAAGGCCCTCGACGCAGCCGTTAAATTTGTACCTCACTACGGTTGGACCCGCGAAGCTCTCGAGGCAGGATGTTCGGCTGAAAACCTCCCCCCTGGCTTACACTCCATCGCCATGCCAAGGGGTGGCATCGACCTCGTGACGCACTTCTACGAGTCCCAGAATCATCTACTGGCTGAAGAATTGGCACGCTGGCGTGCTGAAGAGTCTGACAGCGCAACGTCTTCCTCACAACCTCTCGCCCCAAATAGGTGACTACTGTACGGTTTATTTGTGTTATCAACTAGTTTACTGCACCAGACAGTTTCGTCAGAACCTGTCGGAGGGAAAAAGGCAAATCCACCTGACCCAGACTCCTACATCGTTTGATAGGCCAAATAAACTATTAAATTTATGGCGGAAGATTCCTTTGGCGTCTAGCGGTCAGTCAGGCGTCAAGCAAGATGGTCTGTTGCAGAATTTTCCTGCGATAATTACGAGACCATATACATTGTCTTTCTATCCGTTCAAATGACCAATTATTCTTTGTCCTTGAACCGAACCGATCCACTGTGTAGTAATAGCCTCAGAAGAGAAGCATATGCTGACGAGTTCTCCGGCATCTGTCTAGACTGCGTTCTTTCACCTGGACCGTTACCTGCATGATAAACTGGATTCCCACAGGCGCTGGCAGACCGTTCCTACATCAGGGTGTCATGGCACATGCATTATGGATTTCAATTATAGTCGTGGTGTCGTGGTATTAACAAACTCATTCATGGAGGGGCAGCAATCGATGTCTCAGACAGGTGAGGACACAGCCAAGGAAGTTCCCCAAGACAAATGTGACCGGTTTTGCCCTCGAAACTGTCTTTCTAGCCAGTTTTCACATAGTCTGCATCCCTTTTGGCAGCGGGGGCGCTATACACCAACTGTATCTGGTCACGGGTGTTGTACGTTCTGCAAAAAACTGATTCTCGAAATCTGAGGCTCTACGTAGCTTCGCCGTCTTCGGCCATTTGTGCTTGCAAGCCAAAAACAACTAACTTACAAAGTAGATGATACCGCACAAATCCTACAAGAAACAGTATGCGCTGTCTTTTGGGCATTGCTGCGGAAAGCCGAGAGAGAGGCCCTGCTCTTTACACTTAGGTGGTCGGAGTTTACGTTAAGTGGGGGGGGGGGGGAAATAAGTAGCTCGGCTGTGATAAATGAGGACTACGCTATGTTAGATGGCTAATTATTTACAGAGGGCCGCTTTGCCTGCAAGGCTGCTCTGGTGTTCGTGTACGTTGATTTTAGGGTCGTACTCCCGTTTTTTCTTGCTTGACTCAACTGGAAAGATATAGAAGAACCTAGAGCATCTGAAAGAAACTTGGAGTATGGCACGAACAGAAACACCGGCGATGCTGTTACTGTTCCACTGGTCGTTACATCCTGGTCATTTGCCTCATTTATAGGAGTTTTTGGAGTGGTAGGGGGCGCTCACCGATCGTTCTTACGGAAATCACTCGTTCCGTTGTGTCTTACGGGCTCTCTCTCTCGAGCCCAACCAGCAGCCGCACAGCGGCGCATGATATAGGTGGTATGTTACTACTGACAAAGGCAAGGGAGACTGGAATGGCCATTTCTGGCTTATTAGACGTCGCCAGCCAGTCATACCCAACCCCGAAGTTTTGGGCGTACTGACATGGATATCCAACCTCGTGTCAGGCTCATACCTGCACGGGGATTCATCTCTCAATACAACTCAAGTTCATTGCTGTGCGCTTGTTCGCTGCCCCAGTTTGAGGCTATCTCTTTTTTCTATGCACACATAATCTATGCTGTTCACCATTAGGACCACCTATCCGGTTTGTAGTCTGGAGCATATGATAGAAAACGTCGGCCTGTAGCCCATTCTGCCCAGCCAACTAACGGTTGTATCGTAAGATGGTCCATCTAGACCCTACCCCTTAAAGTCGGTTTTTTGCCGAGATTGCATCAAAACAGCCGGCATCTGATTGCCTCTTCCATTGCTTTTCCTACCGGCGGTTTGGTCGATTCGTGGTATTTCTCTAACAAACCCTATGCCTGCCTTCTTTTTGACAGTTTTGGCTTCAAGGCACCCCCACCGTTTGCCACCAAGGCGGAGACGGACGCCTTCCTGAGTCGTGCCATCCAATACCGTCTTCGGGCAATCGAGACAGTACTGCCCTACTGGCCGCAAGCCATGGGCCTGCTCTCTCTCCCACAGAATGTGCCCGCAGCCATCGCTCTCGAGGCCCAGCTAGTTGATGAGATATGGGCTCAGGCCGGCGATCGTTCTGTTGACGTACGTATCTTCACCCGATTTGGGAGGCCTTTCTAACGCTCTCCCGGGCGCCTTTGTTTCGACGATTAATTTGCTGATAATCACTGCGACAGGTGTTGAGCTAGGTGTGACCGTCGTGGCTTCAGCCGTGTGAGAGCGGAAAATGGTGCGCAAGGCATCATCATCATCATCATCATCATCATCATCATCATCATCATCATCATCATCATCATCATCATCATCATCATCATCATCATCATCATTTCTTACCATAAGCCATCTGGAAACTAAATATCTTTTCGGTGTTTGAGGGCTCCGAGCTGATAAAGTAAGCAAAAATTTCAGGTTAAAACTTTTCCCTACAAGTAATTTTGAAAGTAATCACTCGCGTTTTCCAGGCAAATGAGATTTACGCCATTCTGTTTTTCTCCAAAAGAGACTCCTCTTTAAATTGGATCACTTTAAAGGACTATCTGCTTTTCAGCAATTTACAAAATTACCATTTTCCTCTTGAAAACTCTGTGCAAGCCCTCGGCTTATTGTCATCCGGAACCTGCTTGATCTCATTCCTGTTTGTGACTTTCGATTCCCTGACTTGTATTGTTCTTCGGTTTCCGCAGAGAATAGCCTAAGTAATTTCCGTTTTCAGGCAAATAGTTTGCTACAAGGCACATCCGGTTAATATAGGGGACAAAAAGTGTGCCAGAGGGGGGGCGGGGGGAGGGCTGGACTGTAAGCACAACAATTTCTGTAATTTCACAGCGACCATCTGGCGGCGCACCGCCTCAGTCCTATTAGATCTCGCTTTTGCAGGGTCAAGTCGTTCAACATGGACTGAACGACTGACGATATTCACCGTGTGCTCCACTGCAGGATGAGAGCAGGAACGGTGATTTGTAAGTTTAAAGTCGTAGTAGACTTGTGCTACTTTTGCCGCGCTCTCTCCTCCCCCACCTGGATTCGGTGTCAAGTCAGAGTCAAGGAGACCGGAGGCGGGAGAGCGTGCAGGTGGCCGACACAGTAAAATCCGCACCTAAGCGTACCACCACCACCACCACCACCACCACCACCACCACCACCACCACCACCACCATCACCACCCCCTGGTCCACAACAGACTCTGATCAGGATTTTATGCCAAGACAAAAGGAGCGGTGGCTCGGATCCCACTTGGCGCGGCGTGAACCGGCACCACACCCCAGTATTGAGATTTGTTGTGTGTGTTTGCATCCCCAATAACACCTACCGGACTCCAATCTGGGTCCTCTGTTTTCCCAGCCTCTCTACCTCGTGGCCCCAACGATTTGCGCATCATTACGGTCTTGATTCAGAAGGCAGTATAGGCAAAGACACAGGAGACTGGGATGGCCTTTTCTGGCTCATTAGTTGTCGTCAGCCAGGCATACTCAACCACAGGTTTGCTTCAACTGGAATTCGGACACAGACTTTTGGCCACTGAGCGTTAAACCCAGCGCCCTGTCATTGAACCGCCGACCAGTCATGGCACTGGTTGCATCGGGAGCATTAACTATCGTTCGAGGGTCTTTTAATTGATCAGGTTACGACACGCAAGTGGACGGCCATGATCCGTAACTTGATCGCCGAACGACCCTCACACGATATACCCTATGCACTAAATGTAGCCAAGACGAAAGAACGCATCGTCCCGAGGAGTTTGACGCGAGCATCACCCATAACGTGGGCCAAAGGCCAAACGCGCTCAGGTGTGGTTTATCAGATTCCATGTCGAAATTTCCCCTGACAATGTGCAGGCCAGAACACAAGAAGTCTAAGCTGGTTAATTCACAAATCCAATCTGGGGGTCTGAGAGGTGGCCTACTCTCTAAAGTCCGGTACAGACCGCGAATCCGGCTTCGCGGGCGTATGTACAGTAAGGTGGACTGATGAAAGGATAGATGACAGTTGTTCGTGACCTCAACTTTTAAGTGGATAAGCCGTCGCGTCCATCGTCCGCCTCCCTGATCACGCGCTGCCCATCCCACTGTCAGACAACACGCTCCCCCTCCCAGCCATGAACCCACACGATCCACTTGCACTTTGATGACTACGAAAGTAACGTTCATTTTATTGATACTTTATGATGTTGATGGTGGACTGCTGCACACGTCTGCAATTTCAGACGCCTATAGTGACTTTTTCAGCAGCCGGCCCGTCTTCTTATTAGCGACAAGAATCGGCAGTAGGCGTCTGCACTCGCAGTCATAAGGTCAGTTGGTGAACTGGGCTACCGCCCCAAAAACCCCCGGGGGAGGGGAGGGGGGCGAGAACCAACTGGTGAGACAGTTGCATCGCAGCCATAGAGTGGGGTTTTATGGCCAATCTGCTGTGAAGGGTGTTGCTGGCAAAAATATCGCATTTAAGATTACCAAAGAATTTGTACTCAGGTAAACGATTTGTCCGGTCATTTTAAGCATACATCACTTTCCTGAAATTATTTTCACCCGGGTGACTTTCCCCAATCGGGTAGTGTGCGAAGCGATATTTGCCGAGTTTGCCAGTGAGTTGGGGATACGCAAGGAGCCAGCGCCCATACTCTTGTTGTGTGTATTTTACAGTAGGTTGGCTAACTCATGAAATGTCAACCGAAATTCCGAAATGCGTTTTCTTTTCGAAAAGATTAATTAAGTAGGGTTGTAAAACTGGTCAGCCCGCAACACAATTATATAATAATAATAGTAATAACAATAATAAAACTATTCATTCTTCTGCTCATTCGGTAGATAATTTTACGTCTTATGCTAATTTGATACTCGAATGAGGGACATAATTCGGTTTTCAAAAACTTTTCAAATTCCCGAATAATTGGACTTTTAGGGGCATCGAAAATCAGTGAGAACACTTCATGCTATTTAAGTGGTCGTCTTTTACAGACTGTAGTTTTTTCATGCAGCCGGAAGAAAGGCCACTCGAAAGCAGGCATCCTGAGGTAACTGAAATATCATATAATTATGTTGCAGGCTGACTAGTTTTGCAATCCTACTTCATTATTCTTTTCTAAACGAAAACGCATTTCGGAATTTCGATTGACATTTTATGAGTTAGCCCACCTACTGTATTTGCTGGCCGTATTTTCCCCCATACTGCCTCCTCCGTTCGTAAGCTAAGCTTTGCATGACGTTTGATCTCTATCACAACGCTGCTCGGTTTCCGTTTTTCCGTTATATGAGCAGACTGGGATTTAGAAGTAGTCTACTAACAGCGACTCCATCTGTTATAACCCACTAGACTGTGACGCAGTTGACTGCTCTTTTTTCCAAGTAAGCGGAAAGACCTTTTTTATGTTGACAGCATCTCCTAATCGCCCTGCGGGGGAGAGATTCTGAGAACTCGAAACAAACAGACTCCTTACTGCGGCTTCTGGTCTTTTCTTTGTCTCTAAGATATTGCAGCCATGGGTTGCTTATCTACTCCTATTTTTTGCAGGCAGTGTGACTGTCAGGGCGCGCGGTATCCTACCTTTCGCTGACCTGCAGCTGCTGCTGCGGCAGTGCTGATAGCTTTTGTGAACTTTTCACCCTCCAATTGGGGACATTTTTTCGATGGGAGTGCAGGCGCGCGTTCTTTGAATCTGATACTGTTCAGCCCAGTCTGTGCCCCTACTGCTGTGAATGCTGGGCTTTGCGCGTGAAGGACGAGCAAAAACTGGAGGTATTTGACCACCACTGCTTGTGGACCATCCTTCGAGTAAAGTTCACCGACCTCGTCTCAAATGCGACAGTCCGCGCTCGCTGCGACAACATCGCAACGATAACTCAGGCCATCCAAGAAAGACGACTGAAGTAGTTCGGGCATGTTCTTCGTCGTCCACCTCAGGAGCTCAGTGTTACTGCCCTCTATCCGGTACCGTTGCCCCATTGGAGGCGTCGAATAGGGGGTCAGTTCAAAACCTGGCTCGACACAGTTCGTCAAGACACGGATGTGATTCTTGGACCCTCGGTATTCGGTCTACGTCGTTGGCGAAGGGAATGGGTTGGACTGTCCAGATCTGCTGCCGCGGATCGTCACGCGTGGAGAGGTACAGTTCGTGACATCATCGAGGCCGACTAGATCAGGCATGATCGCAGCCGTATCACGTACAAGTGCCCCATACAGAAGTCGGTCTAAAGGGTTTGAAAGCAGAGTTGGTTGGACGTAAGTCCACCTCCGTCTGTCTTCATAAGTCTCTATGACCGAAAACGGCTGGGCATTTCGTGGCCATCGGAGCAAGGTGGTATAATTTGGAACGAACATGTTTAGCAGTGGGTTTGAGCAAGGTGGAGTAAGGTGGGCGGTGAGGAGAGTGTACGGTAGATGCCACGAAAGTCTGCCACTAACTCGCGCTTAAGTCGTCGACGTCGCGCTCACTCCGTGAAGCGCGCGCGGTGGAAGTCGTTTCTTGCGACGATCGAAATGCCTCTTCTGCTCATAGGCCTTCCAAAGGGAAGAGGGTTGAATATTATCTACCCGATACAAATACAGTAGATGGGCTACCTCATGAAATGTTAACCAAAATTCTGACATGTGCTGTCGACTCGAAATGATTACTTGAGTAAGGTTGTAATATTAATCACCATACAGCATAATCCCAAGATAATTCAGTTATTTCAGAATGCCAGGTTTTGAAGGAATTTCTTTCCGACCGCCTGCAATAACTACACAACAAAAAATTACTATCTAAGTGGCATGAATGTTCCTCATTGACTTTCGATGTCATTTTAAATTAAAATATATTCCATAGAAAACATTCTTTTACTCATTTGGTAGTTATTTACGTCTTCTTTTATTTTCATACTTGAAGGAAGAGTAGAATTTGGTTTTAAAAACTGAATTACAGTAGGTTTACTAATTCATGAGATGTTAATCGAAATTCTGAAATGCGTTTTCGTTTCGAAAAGATTAATTAAGTAGTTTTTTAAAATTAACCATCATGCAGCATAAATATATGATTATTCAGTTACCTCGGGTGCTGGCTTTCAAACGAACATCTTTCCGGCCGCGTGCAAAAACCACACTGAAAATAACTACTTAGGCAGCATGAATTTTTCTCATTGATTTTCGATGCCCTAAAAAATTCAACTATATTTAATGGAAAACATGCGTAAAATGCTCATTCGGTAGAAAATTACGCCTTCTTCCAATTTTACACTTGAAGGAATGGCATGTTTGGGTTTTCAAAACTATTCCAATTCTCGAATAATTTCGAACTCGATCGGCCGGTACACTTGCATTCAGGGTTTCCAAACTACAAGCCTTTTATTTTCCCCGTACGGAAAACCCAACATTTCTCTACGGTATTAAGAGGAGATTGTATGGAGTTCATAAAATCCAGCAATAGATTTGAACTATATTGTCAAATTTACATGCCACATTGGTAAATGCGGAAACATGACGTTTTATGAACGAGCATTTCACGGTATAAGAAAACCTTAGAATCAGAAACTTTTTGTAAAACCAAATTATATCGTTCTTTCGAGTATAAACTTGGAAGAATACGTAATTATCTACGAAATAGGTGAAATAGTGAATGTTTTTATGCGCGTTTTTCACGAAATATAATTGGAGTTTCTAAGACATCAAAAATTGATTAGGTAAATTTATGCTACTTAAATAGTCATTTTTTCAGTTTGCT